CAAAACTTCTGTGTTTAAAAGTGACTTGTGGTCATTTTTTGGAATGAATTTTAATGGAAATGAAAATTCATAGCCCCACTGAGAAGATAAATCTTCCCAAACCTTCTAAAAATTTACAGCTGGAGAAAGAAAGCCAGGTCATTGCCTCATTGCCCTTATTACATCAGGACAGTGGTTTGTGGCAGTGTCATTTGGCCACCACACCTGCCACAAAATGAATGTGAAAGAAGGAAAAAGGCCAGCTTTGTTATGTTGGCCACATTGTCAGTTTAAAGAATAAAACATTGTATGGGTTTCATCTCATTTATTAGATCTATAGTGGATAAATGATCCAAGTGAAAGGCTAAAGAGCTTAAAGGAGGTTTATTTACCCAAAGAGCTCTCCAATTCTATGATAGTAGAATTTTTCATTGTAAAAGAACCCCACACTTTCATCTGAGGAACAATAGCACAAATTGCAGATATTCACTAGCAAAGACAAAACTTACTTTAAAAAAGGCAACACAACTACTATTATAATTTCTGCTGTTAAGAAATATTTTAAATTGTACTTGTTCCCAAACCTCCACTTGGAGATCAAAGACCAACTTTAACAAGAAATTATCTCTTCTAAAAAAGAGACCCAATTCTAAGGAATGCCTAAAATAAAAATGGGCATCCAGACAAAATCTGTGTACAGTCAACTGTCCTAGGGCAGCAAGAGCAACCCTGGAGTTTCTCACAGAGCTGCTGCTGCTCACTTTTATCTTAGCATACCTTAAAAACAGCTTTCCTTCCTGTCTGTGCCAGCTCTTCCACAAGAGAATCTCAGCAGGAATCCTCAGGGTGTGATCCAGCAGCTGCCCTTGGACATCTCAGTGCCACAAATCCATTGCTGATGGGAGAGAGGGCCCTGGTGGGGAGAGGAGTGGCAAAGCACAGCATTAACACACCCCACAAAAAACCTAGCCAAAGAATTGTAAGCATTTACATAAGATAAAAAAGAAATTTAAGGTAATTGAGATGTAGCTTGGCTAAAACATAAGGCAGGGAAAGCAGCCAGCAGATATTTTAAGGCCAGGTTTGCAGAGGAAATACTTAGAACAGGAATACAAAGAACTGTGAAACATGGTGCAAATAGGAGAGATCAAATGAAGGGAAAATTAACAAAATGTATTTGACAGCAAGGTTGTGTGGCTGCTTCATTGTGATTTTGTGAGTGAAGCACTCCAACCTGTTTCACTGGATACAGTAAAACACAAAATGAGCCGGGCAAAAGCAGAAGAAAATGTACTGCAGAAAATGTAAAGTGCAGCCGTCAGAGGTGGAGCATGGGATTATTTCCATCCCTGAAGTACCATTTCTGGCTGGTGTTTCACTATGATTCTTTTATTTTCCTCCTCTGAAGCTACTAACCTCCCACCACAAAGTGATCCCAAGCCTTGGGACAAACATCCAAAGATCTGCTTGGAGCACTGATGCCTCTGTAATTTACCTGTCTGTGTCATTTGTACCAAAGTCCTGCCTCTGGAAAGAGCCAGCAAATGGGGTTAGGTCCTGTAAGAAGTAGCCAGAAATTGACTGCTCTGTGATAAAATATAAAAATGTAATCCAGTCCTGAGAATGTGTATAATTTCCGTAGTCTGTTTTCATAATTGCATGGAAAATATTCTTGAACATTTCAGGTAGATTATTAGAGAACACTTAATTTATGCTGCTAAGTACTGCCTTAAAACACCTTTACCAGTCTTCAAAATGACAAACACCTGTCTTATCATTCACACCAAGAATAGGTTTCCACAAGACCATAATAAAAAAATGATAATTTGTTAGGTTCTGAAAGAAAATGGGAGTAGTAAAAATCATCACCAAATTAATGTTTTAATATCCCAATATCACTATAGTTTAATAAGACTGAGGTTTTGAGAATGAACTTAAAGCATAAGTCCCTAGATGAGACTTTCAGAAGCCTAACATGTATTTAATTTTAAAAAAATCAGCTTTAAGGTTTTAAATGTCTCTGTCAATAGAAAAGCAAGGAGAGGATGTAAGCACACACTATTGCAAACAAGAGCAGCTCTGCACTGGAGATGTTTAGGGAATAGAATTCTTTGACAATATTCAAGGTCCAAAATTGTTCCATCCAACATAGCAGTTTTATAAAAAAACCCTCAAATTAGACAATTGTTGATGCAAAGATTCCCCCTTTGTGGAAGGCAGACTAGATGCTTAGTGAATCCTGGCTGTTTCCAGATGCAGGGATGATTTCCATGAGACTTCAATTTCTGGGAAATAGGGTGGTTTATCTCAACAGAAGACTGTTTGTCTGATGAGGCCTGACCAGCCCATTTCTGCTTCATTTCTAAAGGAGGTTGCTTAACATTGGTGATTGTTTTATTTGTATAAACTAACATAAAAATAAAATCAAGCTTCTACTTAAAAAAAAAAAATAAATTGCATAATTGAAAGCAAATGGTCAGTTGTGTAGGAAATGGGAAGAATTTTCTGGTGGTGAGTCAGAAGTGTGTGCACCATGGCATGGAAAGAGATGCAGGCACTGTGGCTCAAGTGTAGCAAACACAGAGCTCCTGCAGCATCACCAGTTTGTGTTTCACAGCAAAAGCCAGGCAGGAGACACTGAGCTGTTTGATGGCTCACTGCTGTGCTCAGCCCCGGCTGCCAGACTCATTCAGAGCAACCTGGGTGTCACTGGGAGGTCCAGAGGTGCAAATTGCAGCAAAAAGCTCCTCAGTTTGTAGAGGTGAAAAGCTATTTCTACCCCAAATCTCTCTTCCTGTGGTGGGCCATGAACACCTGCTCAGCAAGTGAACTCCTGCAGAGTTCAGTGATGTCTCCAGGCTTTGGATCACATTTATGCACTTGATAAGCAGAAATTTGATCTCTAGACACACCTCGGTTCAAACTACACAGATACTGCAAGGTGAGATGCCATAGTTTCAATTACTTTTCTTCAACTGGGTGTGTGTAAGAGAAAGAGCAAATAAAATAGACAAAACTGCTGTTATTCAGAAGCCACCCTGAGAAACAGGGAGACAGGGAAAGATTAAATGTGACAGGGACTCCCTGGAGGGCTTTGTGAGAGTTAGGGAGGACTTTTTTTAACCCTGGCACATCTGAAACTGAGAATCTGAGGCAACAAAGGAATAACAGTAGTTCAATAGCAGGTAACTTTAATTCATCTGAGAAATGCTCTGGAAAACTATTTAAAGCACAGTGGAACATTATACAAATAATACTTCCTTGGACAACAAAAGAAAAAGGAAGGCATGCCTAATTTGTGAGAGGAAATTGCTGGAGAAGCTCAGATAATGCTGTAGCCTTTTGTTGATTTTTCTTAATAGTGACTATAATTGCAGAATGTGTCTATGTGCTATGAATAGATGCTGTGAATGAATTTCAGGTACCCTGCTAGTCAATTTTTCTTACCAACAAATGCACACCCCAGAAAACATTTACCTGTGTGGCAAGTACATTTAATCAATGTACTTTGCACAGTTGATGGAATTTCAGTGGGGATTCATTAGAGGCTCCCTTAAATGTGTATTTGGCACTGCTGCCTGTCCTTGGGCAGCTGCCAGCCCAGCTGTGGGTCAGTCAGAGGAAGGATGAAGCCAGAGCCCAGCTGGAACACAGGTGTGCTGGAACAGAGGTATCAGAATTCTATCCACAACCAGAATTCCACAGCTGGACAGACACCCATGCACAGAGTTCTCTCTCAGCTTGGAAAAGTGGATGTGGAGCAGAATCTCACAGGTTTTGGTCTCTCCAAAATGAAAGGGGAAGCAGATCCTGTTTAATATGAGAATCGATATTTAGTGACTCTCAGTGACATAATTACTGAATCTATCTATACCACATAAAACTGACTTCAGATGACATATCAGTTGATAGTCTAAGTAATGCTTCTGCTTAGTTGCCATTGTGCTTGAAGCCTGTCATTCTTCCCAAAAACAGCTGGGCAGTTGGGTGTTGCATGGTCCCAAGTGGAAGAGGAAACACACTGAGCTTTCTTAACATGACTTGACTGTAAATTTATTTAATTGTGTTGGATTCAACTATTTTCATGTCCTCTCTGAGCTGAAATCTAAGAAACCAGAAGTGTGAGATGAGGCTAAAAATTGTTTTTGAGGAATCTGACTGAAAATAACACTCTGCCTTGGTTTAGTAATGTCATGTCTGGAGAACTGTGCTTACCAACTTTGCCAGGAGATGAGATGGAGCAGCTGTTGAATGATGCTTCTTGGAAAACCACACAATTATTTCAAATATAATTTCTAATAATTGGCATAATAAGGTAATGAAAAGACTTTTGAATAACTTTTCTTAAAACTTTTCTGGTTATATTCTTTGTTTTTCTAAGTCCTTCCTTTTTTCTGATAGTTACAAATACCTTGAGGGTCTCAGAATAAATCTGCATGGGTCACCTGACTTCAGTGGGTTCCTGACAATTGGAAAGAGTTAAATTTCCAGCCTTGTGATTTAGAGCATGAGAAGATCCACGTCAGGTCTGCTTTGGGCCATCAGCCACTCTCCAGCAGTGCACACCAAGGGAGAAATTACAAAGGATAAGACTTTGCAACTGAGGCAGAAATTACAACTTCTAAGTCCTCAATGGAGTTTTTTCCTCCCATCAATTCTGCTGCTGGAGTTTTAACCTCAAATATATTTCTGGCTCATAGCCATGAATTTGACTAGTTGTTTAACTAGTCTAACTAAACGGATAATTAAACTGGATGTTGGAAAATGACCTTGTGATTGTTTGGATCCTGTAACACCAACAGCCCATTTGCTGTCCTTTTGTTCTTCTATTTTGAGAAACAGAGAGCAATTCCTTTCTCCTAATTTCTTTATTTATAATTGCACAGACCTGTGCCATATCACCCCCAGTTATTTGTTTTCCAGCCCTAGGCTTGCTTGGCTGTTTTCTTTGACAAAGGAGCTATTCAATATGTTTGCTCATCCTTCTCCCTGACTGGAGTTCTTTTATTTTCTCTTTCCAGATGAGAAAAGATCTAAATAAATACTACCCAGAGACCTCTTACTTTCTTTGAAGACTGCAGTGATCTTTTTAACAGTGCTGTGTAAAAATGACATATGTGAAATACAATGAAATTTGTCGAGAGTTCCAATGCTGAAGATTAAGTAAATATGATTTTACTCTCTGTACTAAATCTGCTGATGAAGAAGCTAAATTCTGATCAGCAGCAGTTACAGTAACCAGCTCGCCTGCTTCTCTCATGCTGGGGATAATTCTGCCTTGGAGATGCCATTTGCTGATATCTCTTTGCCATGACAGATGTTTAAGCTGATACTTCCTCAGATGACAAGACTGAAAATAGACTTAACTCCATTTGATGGAAACCCCCCAGCATCAATGGAACCAGTGCAGACCTCGGGCCCTTTATCTTGCCTCTCAGACACTACTTTGGCAGCCCCATATATGATAATGCAAGAATAATTGCTTATTACATCTCTGCTGTAGCATACAAGCATTGTGTAATTCAGCATTAATGTCTGACAACCCAGCTGTCATCTTTCCAAAAATACTTGCTCTCTAACTACTGTAGCTGCTGCTGCTGCTTCTACTTCAAACCAAGGCAAGGGATTTTGCTCTGGGCCATTTTGACAGGGTGTTATCTTTTGAAAAGACAGATGTTTGTGCTGCAACTGTCTGGTGGTTTTAAGGCTCATGCACATGTTTCAATAAATAAGTGCTAAATTACCTGCCAAGTTCTGCGTTAAAGTGGACTTCTAGAGAAATGTGTAGGTGAAACTCAAAAGTAAGATGAGCATGCTCACAAAAAACAGTTTCAAGTCACCTTTGAAAAAACATGAAAAGCCAAGAAGCTCTGGCTTAAAGGTTTATGAATGTGAAAAGACACTGAGAATTTATAAAATAGATGGTGGTGTCATTTTCTGCCCTTCTCCATTTCATTTCCCAAGAGAAATGCTTCAAAGGGAGGGCAAATAATTCCTCTCCTTATTAGGGATTTTATTATTTGAAGTAGTACATAGGTCCTTATTGACCCAACTTTGATGATGAAATTAATTTGGCCTTTGGTGTAACCACAATTAACTTCTGCAGAAGGGAGGTGATTCCATGTCCTGCAGTAAAAAAGTCTCTTTGGAAGGAGCAACCTGGAGCCTTTGTGTTGTCTGAAGCATCAATAGACTCGTGCCAGCTGAAGTGGATTCCCTGCCTCTGGCTGCTTCTCTGCCCTGTGTGGAATTTCACCTTGGCAGACAAATTATGGAAATTCTCTCTCATCAGAATGACTGATTATTATCTGATAGGGGACATAAATTCCTCATTCAGATTCCCCACAATGGACCAAAGAAAGAGCTGGAGAATGGCACTGACTGAACAGAGTCTAATATTCTTTAGAAAGCCTGGTTAACCTGCCACTGCTAAATGAATATGTGTTGTGTCTCTGTGTGCTTTAGACTCTGTCTTGTATTAATAAATGGAAGTAGGATAAACTACTTGAGGTTTAAAACAACTTACAAGGAAATATCTGAGACACTTCCCTCCCTGTGGTAATCTGCAATTTCTTCTGAATAAAGAGTGGAGAGGAAGAAAGAGAAAAGAAAAATAGGGATCCCATTTTTTAAAGTATTCTGAAAGAGTCTTCTGCTATTAACTTACCAGAATGTCAGTCTGAGGACTCTGGTTCTGGGAAATTTGCTCAGTAGGATCTCTTCAAGTCATTCTGGAATCAAAGATAAGCAAACATAGGACAAATAATTCAGAAAATTCGTATGAAATGTGGGGAGCCAGTTAAATGTACAGATCTGAAATGTTAAATGTACAGACTCCTCCTCAGGGGTTTGCTGTGCCAGCCATGCATCTGCACTGCTCTGCATCCCATCCCCATCCCATATCCCTCCCTTCGCCATCCCATCTCCATCCCTTCCATCTCCATCCCTTCCTTCTCCATCCCCTCTCCATCCCTTCCCCAGGGGTTCCCAGAGCTCCTCCAGGGATGATGACTGACAGTGTCCCAACAGCAATTCCTAATAATTTTCCAACTTTGACAATTAATAACTAATGATCCCTATATAATCAAATGGGATTTCAGGTCCATGGTTTAAACTCAATTTACTGCACTTTCATAACTGTAGTTTTTTTTCTCTTTTCCTTCCCCTGAAGGCACCCTCTTCGTTGAATTCTGGGAGGTGAAGATTAAGCTGACAGATGGTATCAGCAGAAGAATGATTATGAGTTTTAAAAACCTTGATATTTTGGCTTAGTACACCATTTTTCATGCAAATACTGACATGGATATTAGCATCCAATTAAGAAAGTATAAAACTGTGCCATTCTGTTACAGTTTACATTACAATCATTTAATGTTTCATTAAAAATACTAAGAAGGGCTGCTCTGAAAGGGATAAAAATCAATGATCTATATATCACTTCTGCTGCTTTGCTCTTCTGGCACAATGTGGCAGTGAAAATGGGCTATAAATGTCTTTAAATAATTCTGTTAATCTGAGTTGCTTTTTGAATTTTTTGTGTTCTGTCTTTATCAAAGGATTGATTCATATCAGGACACACTCTCTGGTGTTAAGGGAGTGTTAGCAACATAAAATGTCAACTCTTCTTTCTTTATATGGTACTTCCAATTTATTTCAATAGGTTAGGTGATGTCTAAACATTCACCCTTTGTTATTTGGACAAGGACTGTCAGTGCAGTTTAAACACCAAAACCACTTCATTGTCCACAGACAAATGTTTTTAAATGTCCTTTATTTACTGTTTAGTTTTGGGTTTTTTTGAGAAAACCTATTTTCTTGACACTTCTACTTAATAATAACACACTCTGTTATTAGAAGAAATTCTCTGACTTTTTGAATATCATCACATTCACATCACTTTTTAAAAATAAGGAATAAATGGAAGGAAATTTCCCAGCCTCAGACTGCTGTGAAGTAATATATGAAATAACCTATCTTTATTATTAAAACCTCAAAATAATTATTTCATAGGAAATCTTTTCTCTGCAAACACTATTACCTAGTTAGCTTAAAATTAAAATAAAATTTGGAATGTCTTAAAAATTTTTGTGATGAAATGCTTTGAACATTTTGAAACATGTCCCACAGTGGCATTGGGTCAAGAAAATTCAATATACTATGCTTATTTTCATAAATGTCAGGGATTTAGTGTGCTAGATTTTTGCTATTTTAAGCAAGAAAGATGTAATTCAAAAGGTTTTGTCCAAGTACATGTACATTAGTTTACTTCTTTCTCACAGACAGTGAAAAGGTATAAATCTCCTTCTCATCATATCTTTATATGATATCGTAATGATATCTTTACGAAAATCATTACAATCTCATTAAATTCTGGTTTTGTGAGAAATTTTAAAAATTTTGGACATAGAGGCACATTATTTAGTTAATTATGTAAGTGTTACATCATGAGTAAACCAGGGGCAAAGTTGTGTACACTGTATTCAGAGACAATAAAATAACACAACTGAACCCTCTCATCACAGACTGACCCTCAGCTTGGGGACAATCACCTGGACAGGTGTCACTTACCCAAATAGCTTGATCAGTTTAAAAAGTGTTTGAGACTAAAAACCTGTGACAGTCCTCCTTCCTGCTTTGTTTTTTTCCTTCTTATTAAAAGTGGACATCCATCCCAACTTTGTGGCTCCTGCAGCTGCTGGATCCAGGCAGGATGGCAAACCTCGATGGCTGAGCCTGGAAAAAAAGGTAATGAAGGTTCTGAGCGCTGGAAATCAAAGAAACTCTGCCTGCCAAACAGAATTGCACCATAAATAGCAACAGCTGGTTGCAAGTATTGCTTGCAGATTGTCTTCTTTATTAGGAGATATCAAAACCTCCAGTGACAATTCATCACTTTTCTAATCCTATTAGCAACAATGGAAAAATGCCAAGCCATTTCCCTGAAATTTCCCTCTGCTTTCTTTACATCCTTAAAACACCCAAGACTGGAGTACAACCTGAGTCCAAGAACATTGGCTGGCTCTAAGTTGACTGAAAAAACCCAACCCTGTGCTAGAGAGGCTTTGCCAAATTGTTTCAGAGGACAACAGAACACCAGAGTTGAGATTCTTAATTGGAAATGCTGAGGCTTATTTTTTTTATTTCATTTGCACATGGGTTGGTGGCAAGACTGCTCTAAAAGGCCACACTTCACCATAACTCCTGATAGTCATTGTCTCGGACACCAAAATTATTGTAAATGCTTTAAGATCTGAAACATTGCCACAATAACCAGTAGCCTGACTGACTTTGCAAACTCCTCTTGTAAAATCTACAGACTAATGTTCATTTTTATGGTTGGTATAAAGGGTTGAATATTGTTTAATTTCATGCAATGGCTAGAAGCTAATCCTAAAAAACTCAAATTCAAAGGAGTTTATCACAGATAGGCAGCCAGCAGGACAGCTTACCTAGGAAAGCAATGGATACTTATACACATCAAATCTCTATTTGTCATTTCATTCAAAGAGCAAATATTTCAGACCTTTTTTTCCAAAAGGTCAAAATACCATCATCTGAAAAAGCACGAAGCAGCAGAACATTTCTTCTGAAGTGAAATATTTTGATATCTTTTCACAACATTGTTCCAGGTTTTTTACCAGTTCCCACAATGTATCATTGGAGGTTTTGTGGAACATTCCAAGAGCCATGTGGGAACAGAGTGTGGATGAGGCAAAAAATACCCCAGCTGTCTATTCTGTAAAAAATAAAGAATTTCAGGATTTGTGCTACAACATGTAGAACCTCCTGTGGTTTTTATTCTTCAGACACAAGGCAGCGGTTTTACAATGTCACTTAAACTAAGTGACCTGCTCTCCTCTGCTGGGATTCAGCCATACAGGACACAGAGAGGGCTGTTCCTCACCTTGGAGAAAAGGATTTAATGAATACTCACTCTGTGGATCAGCCCAGTGCCAAGAGAGAGAGGTGAGCAACAAGTGCAAACTTCCAGTTGTCTCCCCACTCCCCAGATGTGTCTGCCCTTTATCTCACCTGTATTCTGGTAAACAAAATTCATGGGAGAACACATTAGAGAAGAACCAAACTAATGATCTGCAGAGATCCTTGTGTTAATGTTATCTCTTTATACTAAAAAGATGCTTTTAGCTAAATGCCTTTGCAGTTCCCTTCCTGGGCACCTAAATGAATAAAAAGGTGAGAATGGCACTTTCATTATTTTAGGAACATATCTACACCTTAACAAAAAAGCTCTTGGGGGGCACAAAACAGAGATGGAAGAGCTTAAATTAATAGGAAAATATTTTGTGGGCCATGTTTGAAATGAACATATAAACTTCTACCATCTTCAGCTTAAAGAAAAAACCTAAAAATGGTAATGAGATTTATAAAACAGCAGTCAAACTTCATCCTCTCATTGTATCAAAAAGTCTATTTCTATAAGTTTTCAGGAATAAACCCACAGGAATGTTTCTTGGACAATTAGGAACTGAGGAATTTCTTTCCATACATGAAATCATGGTTTTCTTTTGTGACAAATATCATCTCTTA